GGCAGCCCTGAATAGCTGGAGAAAAGGAGTCAAGTCACAAAAATCAAAAAGAGGGAGCATGAGCATGTTTTCACCTGGTTCAGCAGTAACCCGACAAGGGAGGATTATTGCCCTGAGTGTTCATCTCCACTTCTTTGATCTGTCATGTAATCCCTTGCTTGGTGTTGCTGTCAAAATTACTCTATTGAGAAAAAGATCTACTGATGAACCAATATTTTCTGCTTCCTCTTCGCCCTGCCAAGATGCTTTTTTTCGTTTTGGGTAGATTGCATGTTCTGTGTTTGTTGGAAGTAGTTGAATCGTTCAGTTAGTCTTTAAGATCATGTGGTTGAAATTTCTACATTTAATTTGGCTGTGGCAAAAGTTTCTGTAGCTTTTTCTCAAACAGTTGCCAAAACGATTTAATACCCAAATGTGTTATTGGTAAGCTTGTAAAAAATGTTCTGTAAGAACATCTGAAGAAAAGTTCTGATTCATTTGCCTCAGTGTTCCTGCTTCTGTAGTTGCTGTGGGTTCCAGTCCCTGAGAAAGGATGCTTAGCTGAAGTGTTGGGGAATAAATTAACCAAAACTGCATGGTTGGGGCTTTTTTGGTCACTCACGTGATCATTGGTGTCACAGAATGTGATGAGTTTTCCTGTGTAGACTTGTAATTTCACATATCTGTATACTGCTGCTTTCTGAAATGAGTATTTTTGTATTAACATTTCAGAAGGGATTAGCTTTGGAAAATAATTGCTGTCACTAACCCCATTAGCAGAACTGCTGCTCCAGGCATGCAGGTGGAACAGCAGCTCTGGCTCTGACTGGGCTGGTGTTTGTGGCAGCTCCATTCAGGTCATGTGTGATATGTTCTACACCTGAAACCTGAGAGCTGAGAGACAATTTGGTTGTAGTTTTAGGTGCTGGGAAGTAGGGTAGACCTCTTCTGAAATACTTTCAAGAAAGATGCTCTTAAATGTTGTTGCTAGTTCTTGTTGGATGGACGTGGGGTGAATACCCAAAATTATTCTAGAAATCTTCACTGCTGTGCTGCACTGTTTGTTTCCAAGTGTGATGTTGAACTGTCTTTAAATATTTCAGTGAGCTCTTGCTCAGCTTGCAGTGACTTGTGACACTGTCTGATGGAGCTGCAGGGAAGCATCAACACCAGATGGGGAGCTGGGCTAGGGGACAAGGATTGCTCTAAGGTGTTGCCAACCTGGGCTTCCTGTAGAGAGGATCTCAGGCTGGCTGTGCTTCCCTGCATCTGAATCATCTCCTGGTTGTCTCACCAAGCTGCATTGTCCAGTGACTGCTGCTTTTCCTTCCAGAACCTTCATTCCACTAAATCCCAGGTTTCTGCATGGGAACATCTGTTCAGACTGGTTTGTTTGCTCTTTCCAGCCCCAGCCCGAAGCCTGGGTTTAGAGGCAAACAGAACCTCCTCCATGAGGGCAGGATTGGGTTTTCTGTATTTTCTATTCATGTGTGGTCCTCTCATTTCCCTGCTTCCCCACCTCTAATAGCTGTAGAGTTGCATTTCATGGAGAAGTGGAATTTCCTTATCTTGTCTTGGATTTTTCATCTCCCCTGCGTGGGTGTACTGGCAGGACCAGTGCTCTGGATCTCCCTGCATCCCAACCACCTTTGCTGCCCAGTGTTGCAGAGCTGCTGCTTTGAGCATTGGAAAAACAGAACCCATTCCTGGAAGAAGATGGAAGAATTGAAGCTGACAAAGGTAAGCCAGCCAGAATCCAATCTTGAGACCAAATGTACAAAACTTCCCAGATGGGTTTCCCTGTGCTCAAGGCATTGTAAAAGTAGATTTCTTGCCTTTGCTTATGCTCTGCCTGCCCAGCTTTTGGCAGAATGAAAGTACTGTTTGTATTCCATGATGATGATTAAAGGATATTTCCTTCTTTTATGATTATACCATACATGACAATTTTGTCTTCTCAGCAACATTAATTTATTCTAATATTTACAATTGTATCAGCATGGTTCAGAGCTAAAACTTCTTTCCTGTGAAGTACATTTACCACAACAACACACATGCATGTGTAGAAAATATTGAGTATCTCACAGGTTGCCCTTGCTCATTTCAAAACAATTAATAAGAAGCAGAAATAAAGACAATGCTATGAAGCACAGCAGAAGTTTGCAAAGTACCAGAGCTTTATTATTAGTCGAGGTTGGAGCCTGCTGACAATCCTTAGACTGTGACACTGTGTTCTGATTAGAGCCTGGTGGAGACCACTGTTGGTGCTCTAGCACAAATGGACTGCTGCATGTGAGGTTTTGGCACATTCTTTTTCTGTTAATTTATGACCCACATGTTGCAATGCTTGACTGTTCCAGCAAAACCTTGCCAGGCTTTATTAAAGGGGAGGGAATAGGTGTGGCAGGCACAAAGCTTTTACATTCTCACTGTGTTATTGACCCGAGTGCTGTAGAGGCTTTAATTTTTAGCTGTTTTTCTTTCCAACAAAACTCATTATTCCCCATAAAAGTTAAGCACAGGAGGATGTGTTGTTCTGAGTTCTGTCAGCTCCTTAGTTTACCTACATCAAATTCTGATGTTTTCCAGTGTGCTGCAATTACTTATGCAGTACCTGAGCTGTAGTTCCTCATACCTGTTTCATTTCAAATACCACTTTAAGAGACTGAGCAGCAGCTGCAGTCATTGCTCCCACAAGGATAAGACTGATGTGTGCTGCTTTCCTTTTTCCCTTTTCAACTGAGTAAGTTCTCATGTTTTGCTAGAAATCACCATTTTTTGATTTTTATTGGGGTTTGGAGTATTCACATTTCAGCCTTGTCTGTTTTGCAGGTTGCTTTGTCTTGGTTCATTCAAGTGAAGTCCCAGCACATGAATTGCTCCATTTAGATCCATGAAAAACTGACAGCAAAGACCAAGCAAGCAGAGCAAGCCAAGAGCATTCTGAGTTTGATGCCTGAAACTGTCTCCTGGTGGCAACTTTAAGGAAGATTTGATTCTTGTGGTCACAGGGAAAGACGGTCCAGCCACAGGCATGTAATAAATGATGCTTAATAAATGATTCCAAAAAGCTGCCTTTATGTGTTTGCTTTTGTGACTGCTCTATTAGACACCAAAAAGAGCTAGGGGGAATCTCTAGATTTACTGCTGATTTTCCTCTAGTTTTCTGTGCTGAACAGGCTGGCTTTGAAATCTGGTGCTAACCAGAGGGAGAAATAGGGAGAGAATAGAATCTTCTGCTTCTCAAAATGCATGTCAGGGAGCCTTCCAACCTCCTGTGAGCACAGCCTGTGATTTAAATAAATCCAGTCAATTTTAAATGGCAGAAAACGAGGGGAGAGGTAAGCAAGATGTACCAAAATGTTTCTCCACTTGCACAGCACGAGCCCCCTCCTGTTGTGACATTGTTTGCAGAGACACAGACTGGGAATTGAAATAGGATTGTGGACCAAGCTGAAGCATCACACAGTATTTCAAGCTGCTCCAACAAATTAACTATTTAACACTCTGCTAATGTTGTGCACACACTTATTGCCTCCCAGCATGAAAATCAAGCAAATAATTGCAACAAGCTTCTGCCCAGTAGAAGTCACTGTAATATAATGAGGAACTTTGTCCTGTGAGTACACAGAAGGAACAGGAAGCTGTTGGAAGCAGGTCGATGTTGCTTTAGGTACAGGAAGAAGGATTCAGGAGTGCTCTGTGTCCCTGCCTTCAGCTCTGGGTGCAGCTCAGGCTGCTGTGGTGCCTGTTCTCAGTGGTAACATAGCAACTGGACCACACCCCCTCCTGCTGCAGGATGCTACAGAGCCCTTGGAGCACTATCTGCTGTACTGCACGGGAACTGCACCACTCCTCATTACCACAGCACTGCCAGCTGAGAGGGTTTTTCATCCCATGGAATGACAAGGAAATTCCTCGTTCTGTGACTAGTAATCCTGTTGTGTTTTCTTTCAATGTTTCTGTAGTAATCCTGTTTTTATTGCAGAAGAGGACTGTGTTGATTTTAAATCAATACCAGAGTTGTATCTATCGGTGCATTTTATCTCATTTCAAAGTAAGTTGTTGATGAAAAATAAGCATTCTTGGCCACCTGATGCTCTTCTTGTTTAGTGCTCCTGTATGGTGGTATTATGTTAATATTTTGGAAGAATACTCAAGGATTTGAGCATGTTTTTCTTCTCACTTAGACCTTGCAAAATGACTGAAAAGCTTTCCCCACTCCTAACCTCTCTTCTGTTGTGCAACAAAAGAGCTTTCCTTTAAGCATCTTGAGCACAAGGAATCGTCTCTGGGCATTACTGAACGTTTGACTTAAGGTGTGATGAATCCTCTTATGCCAAGTTGAATTTTTTGATGTATGCTGTAGATTAATGTTTAATTTACCTAAAACAAGTGTGAAATTAGTGTTGTTCAGAGTTTCTTTTTTTAAAGTTGTTCTGTTCAGATCTTGGGTTTAAAATCTCTGAAGTCTGCATTGGATGGCACAGCCTGACTTGGTTTTTCAGGGCTGTTTCCTTTGCTGCCTGTCTTAGAAAGATGATGATTATAACAGTACAAAAACCTTGTTCTGGCTTCATGACCTGCATGGGGCAAAGCTTTTTAAACAATCTGAAAACTTACTCACCAATTTCTTTAAATGTATTGGTTTCTTACTGTACTGACTTAGCAGTTGTTGTCATTGCACTTTGGTATCAGTCTTGGGGAGGGACATGTTTTGGTGACATGTGGCACAACAGCCATTGCAAAATAATGGTATTGGTGTTGCTGAACTGCTAGGTTTCCTTATTTCCTAGAATTTAAAAAATCCTAGTGTAGCTCAGAAAGCTTCTGCAGCTTCTTGTGACTTGAGAACAAAATTACCAATAGCCTCCCTAAACCAGTATAAAACTGTATTTGGAGCTGTGCATGTAAGACAGTAAATCCATGGCAATATTGTGAAAAGTGTATAAAAATGCAAATCTACCTTTTTTTTAACTTGATAATGCTTATGCATCCCCTCCCCCTTTCTGTCTTTATAGGTCTACGAGGGCTAATCAATCTTGGGAACACATGTTTTATGAACTGTATTGTCCAGGCACTTACCCACACTCCACTGCTGCGAGATTTCTTCCTCTCCGACAGGCACAAATGTGAAATGCAAAGCCCCAGCTCATGTCTGGTCTGTGAAATGTCTACGCTCTTTCAGGAGGTGAGTGCTGTTTGCCACAAAGCATCACCTTGCCACAGATGCTGCTGCTTACCCCAAAAGGAATTGTGTTCTATTTGCAGATATAAAGGGAATGCAAGTGGTGTTTCCCCTCAGAATGTAGTAACAAAGCAGTAAAGATTGAGACCTGGCTGTCAAAAACTCCCAGCTGCTGAAAGGGAAACTAATGGCTTTTAAGTCCTATTGTGAAGTCACCCTTGTTTAGGCAAAGCTGGTATGGGAAATAATTACAGTGCTGCCTGTTCTTCTGAGACTGATCTGGGAATCCTTAGACTTAAAGATGAATGTGTGCTTTAATTAAAGGTGCAAGTTGTAACTGGAAAATATGTCATGAGCTCTTCAGGTGATAATGGGAGTGAGAATAAAGCAGTAGTGTACATCCTTGTGGTTTAAGGTACTGGATTATGTAGGTCTGTATGAATATTTTAAAGATCTCAATTTAGTGCTTGTTCACCAGCAGAAACATCTTTTCTGTCATCTCTTATGTGCAAACCCAGTAAGGGCCAGGGAGGAGGATAAAGAGAAGTGAATGTGTTGCTGCAGTTTGTGTCTTCCTGTACAAGCTGCACTTCTCTCCCTTTCCCACTCAGGAACCTGGCTTTGCAGTGTGTCTTTTCTATAGGTCTGCTTCATTTTGTGTGAGATGAGCACAGGCTTTTCCTTAATAAATAGTCCAAGAGCTTTGTTATCTGTCTTAATTCACATCAGTATTGTAAGGACTGTGGGTGGACATGGACTCCTAGTTTTAAGATGTTGCCCAAAAAAACCCAGTTTTGTGCCTGTTCCTCAGTGGTAGATCTGCTTTCTTGGTAAGTAAAATAAAACCAACCAAAAAACCAGAAAGAGCTGTAGTGTACATGCTGTCATGGAGCATTCAAAATTGCTGGAGATGTCTGTACACAGAGCAGGTTTTCTGTGGATTTGCTGTCATGGAAGTTCATTCTGACAGGGACCAACCTAAAATAGCTTTACCTTTATCGTGTGATTTTCAATTTGATTTTACTCTGGTGCCTTTTTCGCCAGAGATGATTCTTTTTGGTCACTGCAGGTGAGTTAAACATACATAGAAGAAGGTAAAGCCCCTTTAGTTGTTCCAGTACAAAAGTTGTTTTCTGCTTATACTCAAGACTTCTGAGGATTTGCAGCATTTCATTCTGCTAATCAATCATTAGCTGTATGTTACATTTCTTATTTTTTGTTCTATTTTTCAATTGTTCTGAGCCTGTCAGGAAAGGAGGTAAAAACAAAAGGCAGGCAGACCAATAGGTAGCAGCTGTAGGATTATTGAAACCAGATGTGCAGTTAAGTGGGGAAATACCACAATGCCTAGATAAAAAAATCAGTCATGGTATAGAAATACCAGTTTCTGTAGACTGTTAATAGAGAAACCTATTTCCTTATTTAAAAATAAGGAACTAGTATATTCTTGATATCCTTTCAGCAAATAGTGATATAAAGTCTCACACTGTTGAACATCACCACACTCTATTTACACATGCATTTTTTAAAAAATCCCTTGGGAAAGGGGAAATGAGTGTTACATTACAGATTGAGAGGCTGCAGGAAAGATCAAGACTCTCTAGGTAATGATTTTTGTTTCCATTTTTGTGCGTGGAGCCCTGTTGATGGCTCAGGATGCCTTTTGCTCCACTGTGAGCATGGAACAAAGAACAGGCCAAAATGGGCTTAAACACAGCATTTGTGTTATTGTGTTAGTTTCAGTTGTAATCAAGTTTAATTTCATACACAACTTTGGGAAGCTCAGCCTTCATTTTCAAGTCCAAATTCATGCCTACACTTGCATTAGTTCTATTAATTAAATGTTCTGCACCATGAGGGTGTATGGATGAGGGAACAGCCATATCTGTGACACCAGACTGTGCAGACAGCAATAGTCCCTGTCCTTATTTCACATTAAATATTGCAGCCATGTGCTGTGGGAGGACACAGAAAGTGACTCAACCTCCTAGAAGTAAAACTGGAGCTTAATCCTCCTAAGCAAAGCTGTTGGGTCTGTAACCAACTTGGTATATTTGTACTCACAAGCAGTAAATACCTTGTTGTGCTTCTGGCTCTGTCAGTGCCCATTGTACAGTTCTGTTCCCAGTGAGTTTCATTTCTTTGCTTTCAGAATTAAAACAAAAATCCTGCAATTTTTGGAGCTGACTGGTTATGTTTCATGTCCCAGCTCTATGCAGTGGTTGTAATGAAGGTTCTGTCACTGCCTTTGCAGAGCTGAGGTCTGGGCAGAGGAAGGCAAACCAGGAGATCTCAGTGCTATGGCTGAGAATTCCTTTGTAATTGAATTACCAGGGAAACTTTGATTCAGGTTCTGTCTTGTTTCTACATAGCTTTCCCACCAGGATTAGCTGGTGTGGTTATCCCAAAGCATCTTACCCAGGGACAAACAATCAGGGCAAGGGTTAATTTCATCTCCCCTCCACCCTTCTCTTCTGAAGGTGTGATCTTAGGCAAATGGAATGCCAGGGGATCTGCAGAGTGCCTGAGTGGGAGCTCTCAGGGAGGAAAAGAGAGACTGTTTTGAACATTAAATAAAGCTTACTATATATAAATAAGCAAGTTTTGCTCTTTTGCCTCTTAAACAGAAGTTACCCATCCCACTTTATTTCTTTTTTGCTTAAGATCATGTAGTTATATAGGTTGAGTGATTTCTCTGTGATAAATAGGAAGCCACAAAGTTCTTCCACCTTGAAGTAGGTTGGTGGTGAGTAATGACTGTCAGATGGTTCTCAGGACTGAGGTGTTTTTTCCTGGTAGCTTTTCTGGCAGACACACCAAGCATTGAGCTCTGTTTGTTTTAAAAATATCTGACTGCATCAATTAACATTCTTCTTTGTGCTACATGAAACCCATTTCTCAATAGAATCATGACATGAATTACACTGTATAAGAAAAGGAATGAAAAGGATTTGGGAGTAACAGATAGTGGTGAATCTGGGCAGGGGGAAGATGGAACACACACAATCCATTCATTGAGCCTTTTGGCTGAAAGGGTTGGGGCACTCCTTTTTACCTGCTGGTGTTTGTGTTGTAGTTTTGTTTCACCAATGAAAATGAATTTCAGGATAGCCCACACCCTGAGGTTTATCTAAATCCTTTCCAGAATGAGCACTCAGGAAGGTGGGATTAGATCTGTGTCTCGTGCTCTGTGAGTGGAATAGATGGAATGGGAGTGGAGCAGAATGCATCCACTCAGAGGTGGAAGGAACAAACTCTTCCTTTTCCCCATCATTACCCATCCCTGTGAGCCCAGCACAGCACACAGCACAAGCAGGGGAAGAGTTGAGAAGTGAGCACCAAGAGGGAAAAGGAGGAGATGATTTATGGCTTTGATATCTGAAGATGCTACTGTGGAAGTGACTTCTGTATAAAAGAAGTTACAACAAAGGTACTAGAGGGGAGAAAATGCAGTTAGGCCCTTGACATAGACAGAAGCTTGAATTTTGTCATGGAAAATAGAGTTTGTGCTGGTTTAGTAAAATCTGGTACTTTTCCCTGAAAGAAGTGAAGAACATACAGAGTTCATGCAAGAAAAATGTATTTTGTGATTCTTTGAAGCATTGTTCTTTGGGAAGCCTCCAGAAGGTGTTCTCTTGCATGAGTTCCATGTGTTCCCTAGTCCTTTCATCCGTTGTAAATTGCCAGAAAATGTAAAGTCTTTACTGAGAACCAGTTTCCAAGGGGAGTTTTTGAATTCTCAGATTGGACTTGAACCTGGTACAGGATTTCTGCCTATAAACTCATAATTACAAAGCTCAGAGACTGCTCAGCAGATACATGTGCGGGATAAATCAAATTTATAAATCTGCTCATTCACATAATTGAGAAACTTCTGTGCATGTTTTTGGCAGGAGGAGGAGAAATAAGTACAGATGTGTGCAGTGGGGTCTTGTTTTGTTTTAAAACCTCACTGTGTTCTGTATATTTTTTGTAACAATAATGCAGATTACAAAGCCTGTAGTCTTCTCATTCCTCCATAGATTCTTTCTAGAATGCAACAGCAAGTGTTTCAAGTGGAAAAACAAAATTAGTTTTACTTGGGCTGTGTAAGAATGGAGGCTTTGAATCCATTCAAAAAAGGTTTGTTCCTTTTTTCCCCTCCTCCCTTTTTTTTCCTGGAATAGCAATTAAGTAGTGTATTACCCAGCACATTGAAATTGCTCAAACCAGTTCTCTCCAACATAAACAACTGATACTGCTGAATTGAAAACAAATTTAAACAAAAAAAAGTTTAAATTATGTTCAGAACAGTTAACAGTTGTTTAACAGCTGTGTTTTAAAGGTGACTTGCAGATACATCATTGTTTATATTTGCACACTTCAGTGAAAAGGTTGGAATAAAACTTACATGGACTCTTTTCCTTTTTGTGGACTGGAACTGCTCTGATAGGCTGCTTTTCCCAGCAGCAAGGAAATGACAGAGATGGGATGGATGTTTTATACATTCCAGTTAAAATATTGTTATTGAATGTGCTCAGATTCTTTGTTATATTTAATACTTATTTGAGCAGTGAAGCTTTCCCCCCACCCCACATTCTTACCAGGCAGGTTTCTAGTTTATTGTGATAATAGTTAATAATTTGATAAAGCTTCATGTCAGATCTTTCTCATCCTACTGAGGCAGCAGAGAATGTAAAATCTGCTGGCAGGTCTTGTGTCTGCAGTGGAGTAATTACATGGAGTGCTGGTGGTTAAAATGACCAGAGAGCTCTGGGACTAATTGTAAGGAGTGACAGAACAGGGAAGTTTTATTGCTGCAGTTCCCTGAATTATGTTGAGCAGCAGCTGCATCAGCAGATTTCAATTACCACACTCCTGCTCCAGTCCCTCAGTGTCATCCTTGCTGGCATCAGAGTAACTATTGATCTTTGTATTTATAGGAGCATTTGTGGTGTTTGGCTGCAGAGGTGCAGCTTCCTGATGGGGAAAAGTGGAGCTTGTGAGGAAGAAATTTCTGTGGGAGGAAACACACTAAAATCATGTAGGAAACTCTACCAATATGAGGATTAGATTAAGATTCTGCTGCCTTTTGCCAATCTGTCCCTTAAAATACAGTGTTTTCTCTCAGCAGGTTTGTAGCACAGTGCCTGTACTTGGACTTACATAAAATGTTCAGAGACTGTGCAGGGAGAAATTCAGGGCTGGGGAAGGAAGCTCACTTTTCCAATAAGGATGAGAATTATATACTGCTGGGGGTTTAAATCTTGGTTTTTGTTCTGTGTATTTGCCCCTTACTGTCTTCTGTTTGGGAAGAGTAACTGAAAAGAAACCATCATGGATTTGATAGGATCTTGGGAAAACATAATTGTGGTGTTGCAGGCAGCATTTACTGGCAGGTACCTTTGCTGAAGGTGAGGGAAGGCAAAATGACTCACAAATGTTCACTTCTTTAAAATGAAATGTTACTCTGTCAAGTGAATAAACTCTTCTGGGCCTTTTCTGACTCCTGCAGGGACAACATGAGCACCCCTGCTTTGCTTTTGGAACTGGTATTACTGTGCAGGGATAAAGAAAGGGCTGAACCTCAACCCAGGGAAACACAGACCCTTAGCATGGGTGGCTTTTTGGCATGTTTTTTGGGGGTGGGCTGGTTGGGGTTTTTTTTTTGGTTGTTTGGGTTTTTTCAAGTGGGACCTGGCTAGTTTTTAATTTAAAAAAGTTTCTGTGGGCAGTGTCCTCCTGCCCTGTGCTGATTTCCCTCCCCAGCTGTGTCACCCCCAGCAGCAGCAGAGTTTCACATCAGGCTGTGCTGACTGAATAATTCATCTGTGCACTCTCTAATGTGCTTCTGGCACAATCACCTGGGGCAGTTTCAGTCACTCTGGAGCCAGCTCATCAGATTTGGGCTGCAGCAGATGAAGGAGCAGATGCAGGAGCTGCTCCAGCACCAGGTTCCCAGGCAGGGACACCCTGCTGGAGCAGGGATGGCAGCTGGCTTTGGGCATCACTGCCTGAATGGGGACCTTCAGCTCTGCAAACAGCTGGCTCAATAAAGTTGTTTTTAAAGCCTTTTACAGTGAAAGGCCACTACTGGCATGAGGCAGCTGCCCTGCTTAGAAATTTTTCCATAAAATTGGAGTGTGCTCAGCATTTGGATGCAGAGTTGCCACGGGTCAGGGATTGGCTGACAGTCAGCATCTAATATTCTCATCTTCAGTGTTTGTTCTGATATGAGGGGAGGCATTTCATTCACATAATTTGTGAATGAAATTGCTGCTCCTTTTCGAATGCAGGATTTTTTTTCCTTTCTTTCCTCCCAGGCTGTTTTAATAAAAGCCAGTGGTATCAGTAAGCAAATTGTGAGTGATGTTTGTGTCTGCCTACCCCACTCCCTGCACCTCCACATTTTTCAGGCTAATCCATCACAAATTGATGGAATTTCAGGGGAGAAAACTGAGCTGCTCAGTTTTGAGATCACTTCTCCAGCAGTCTGTGACAAAAGCTGTTTCTACCCTTTATTATTAAGGCCATCAGAATTAAACGGTTTAAATTGATTTGACTAATTGCTCTCATTTGACTTTTTAATAATGCAATGCACTGAGGCTGTGCAAGCTGTTAACAGTGATGTCCTTCTCTTTGCTTTGAGCAGTTTTACTCTGGGCACCGATCTCCTCACATTCCATATAGGTTATTGCACCTGGTATGGACTCACGCACGGCATTTAGCAGGGTACGAGCAACAAGATGCACACGAGTTCCTCATTGCTGCATTAGATGTGCTACACAGACACTGCAAAGGTAAGGCTTGTCCTGAGGCTCCAGTCAACCAGGATTATTGCATCCAAAGGAGGTAGAACCATCTCTTCTTAAACCAAGTCTAGTGCCAGTGCAGCACTCTTAGCAAATTCCTTTAAAAATGTTCGGTAGACTTAAAATGTTTAGAAATAGATAAACCATTCCCACTGTCAAAAAGTACCAAGAGGTAGAAGCAGACAAGTCTGTACATTGGTTTGAATCACCATCATGATGTTCTCTTATTGGTTGTGAGTCACTGCCTTTTTCTTTTAAATTGCCATTTTATTCTATTTATACTTTCAGTAGTTAGAACTCTTACTCAGTGTGTCATGGGACTGATGAAAATAACATAGGGGAGAGGTTATGTCTTAATACTTAATACTATTATATTTAAGCAGATATTTAATACTATATATTTAAGCAGAATAATACTATTATTCTGCTTAAATATGATTCTGTTGTATTTCTGATACCAAATTGCTTACAGAAATGTGAATAAGGAAGAGCAATGGGTGGCTGTGGTATCTTGTTTTATTAGTCTGTATAGAACAATATGTAATTGTACAATACAATAAAAATATTCAGTGTCATACTTTTTGATACGAAGTATCTAAGTCTTGATTTTGTAATATCATATGAAATGATTTATTTTCTGTTTGTTAGCTGAACTGAAAATTTCCCAATCTGCCAATGTTTGCTCTAACTTGATTCACTTCCTGCAGCAGTGAAATTTTTACTGTTCCTCCAAGGGAAAGTAGAAGAGTTGATATTAACAGAACAAATAAAAAGTCCTTGGTTATCAAAAAGAAGATTTAAACACTCAGCTTTCCTCAAGGAAAAGCACTTAGGGTTTAGTTTTTTGGCTTATCAGAGGACTGTCCAAGGGAAGGCTGCTGCTGCTTCTCTGAACCATTGTGAATCTTGCTTTTATCTGTGATAGCCCTGCATGGCAGCAGATGGGCTTGTTCACATCCAGAATTGGTGCCTCCAAAAGAATCTTCTCCAAAAAAAGTATTGCTAGGGACAGGAGTACACAGAGCAGTTCCTATGCAGTTAAATTAATGTCTGTCATTTGACAACCACTAACTGGATTTCAAAAATCCAAATTAAACTGGTGTGGAAGTCCAGTAAGGAACAAAATCTAACCAAATATTGACTTCTTAACACTGAATAAATTCAGCTGCAAACAGAAGTACTTCTTTGTTCATGTTAAATTTCTGAACCATTGATCTAACAAATCTTGAAGCTTTTTTCATCATCTCTGATATAAGATAATGCTCATATTTCTTCTACACATGATTAATTAATGAAGTAGTATTTCTGCCTCAGAATTGTAAAAAGAAAAACTTGCAATAGTAAAGGTCCCTGAGCTCTTCTCAAACTGATAAAGAATCTGAAAAGACTTTAAAAAAAATGTGGTTTGACTTTAAGAATCTTCCTTGATATCTCTTCTGCCAGGTTTTCAAATTTCTGTTTTTGAAGAAATAGAGAGGCTTTTATGAAATCATAGTAAATAATCTATACCACATCAAGGTAATTTTAAATAAGTGGTTGAGCAGTTGTGTGGGAACCAAACAAGTTAATGTAAAACAGAATTTCAAGTATAGTCATGCAAAACCACATTTGGAATGAACTAGTTTTCAGTGTAATGAGAAAGTTTTCCCACTTGTGTATCCACACAGACACACTTGCATGTGAAGAGTGGAGATGTAAAAATATTATTACTAATAGTGAGAATATGTCCTACAGCTACAATAAGCAAATAATGCCTCCTCTGCCAATATTAAATATTTATTTTAATGAACGAAAAAAGCTTTTAAAGCTTCCAGTCAATAGTAATGAAGTTTTACAATTAACACACAGTGAAATAAAATAAAAGTCATGGGGGAAATTCTGCTCTAGTTTTTGGACATTATTCATGATCACCAAGGCTTCAGGCACCAAAGTAAATGAAAGTATTCCTTAGGTATAAATACCCAGTGATGTTTGTTTGGCTGCCATTAGTCATTTATCCCTTTTCCATTCTGTGCACTCAGCTGTCTAGGAAATGTCTTAATGCAAGTGAAGACAAAGCTGTGAATATTTGTTGTTGATTTGTCACTGCCTAAACTAAGAAAAATACATTATTTTGATGCCCATTTAAAGATCAATTTTGTAATCCTACAAGTGCCCTGAGATGATTACGTGGGCAGGCCAGCCCAGGTAATTTTGTTTTGATTTGGTTGGTGTTTTAAATGCTGGTTGAATCTGTACTTTGCTTTAGTGTCATCTGTGGAGTTTTGGAAGGCCAGGATACCTCTCTGATGTCCGTGTAAATCTGTCTGAGGGGTGATGGATGTGCTGCCACTGTTGGGTAGAGCTGTGGCATCTGGGCAGGGCACGTCCTAAACCCTCAATGGGCTCCTCTGAGCTGCTGGAGTAATAGAAAATATTGCTGAATAAAAGGGGTTGAGTGTGTCTTGCCTGTGCAGTGCATCCCTTCTTCATTTCAACAGCTGGAGGCAGGTGATCTAACAGGAAAGTAGTGTTTTAGTGGAAGAAATTGTGTAAATAATCTGTATTTCTGCCCAGGTTGTAAAGCATTAAGTCAGCTTTTAGTCAACATGACAGATGCATCTTTATCCCAAATGCTCTGGGATAAATTTGAGATTCTGATTCTACAAACTTCCACACCAGTGAGCTTCCAATCATGCAGACACTTTTTAGTTTCCCACCTTTGTCTCAGACATCTTCAAGCCAGAATTACTGTTCTCTTAAAAGGATCAAGACTGCAAGTCAAAAATGACTGTTCTGTCCAGTGGCATCACTGCTGTGGGGGCTTCTGTACCTTTTGCAGGAGCAACAGGACTCAAGAGATGAACAAAGGTTCAAAAAGCGAGATAAAAAATAGAAGTAATCTGTGTTTTTATCCCAGACTTTATTCAGTAGTTTTTAAAAAGGGAGAGTAGTACCTTAAAGCTGATTATTCCTCATTTATTTGGATTTCTTGAAGCATTTTGCATTCACCTTTAACAAGGAGTGCTGCAAAACAAATCTGAAGGCAGAAAAAGAATGGTGTACTGAGATTTGGGAGGAAAACACTGCCCTGCTCTGTGAATTCTGTATGATATTCTTAGGAATTGATAGAGCATATGCTTGTGAAACATGTCATCTGCTCTGATCCTCATAGATTTGTGTGTACACTGCTTTGTCAGAAATAACAAGCACTTCTTCGGAACACCAGGGACCAAAGCAAAGCAGAAATATTAACATTAATGTCTTGTTTTGATAAATACCTCTTTTAAAATCTGACAATTCCTGACTTCCCATTTCTCATTTAAAATACAGAATGAAAGATTGAGGCAAAACTTGTATTTTTATATCAAAACCAAAAGCAGTCTTAAAAACTTGTGTATTTTTAAGCTGTTTTTACTGTTGCTGTGCATTATTTACCTTTAGTGGTATATTAAATGCCTATTTTGAAATAGATTAACATGCTTAGTGATTTCACAGACACAGGAGTAACCTGTGTGGGGTTTTTTGAGAGTTGAGTGCAAACTCCTAAACTCAATTTTCAGCCATTCTCCTAATCACATTAATATGTACATTGGTGTATTTTTAAGTTTGCTTTTAGTCCTGTGCTGACCATTCTTAAAAGCTGCTAATTTCCCTGGACTGGATTTAAACCCCAAAAAAATATCTGAAATTAAAACCCCATTTGGGAGACAGAAATGTTGAAGGGAACCTTAACTTGAGCACAACAATCTAGCAGCTTCTAGTTCTCAGCTGCATAATATACCTCCCCTCAGCATCTGCTCCATATTGACAAGTGTGTGTAGGTGGTAATCTTACTCTTTTTTCCCTCCTCTCCAACCAAATGTCATGGGAAATAATGTTGAGTGGGTAATACCCTTCTGTTTAGCTGGGAACAAGCTTGCAGGATATTCATTTGAGACCCTCTCATCACTGATCCTAATTGACTTGTGTAATTGAAAAGGGAGAGCTCGGCTCTCTCTGTGGGAGGAAATGCCTGTCTGCTGAAGGTGTCCAGCTGGGATGGTACCTGTGATCCAGGGAAAAGCTCTCAGCACTGCTTTCCTCCTCCTGCCCCCTCAAAACAAAGCACAGACAATGTTTGAAATGGACACATTACAAGGATGTGGTAGCTCTTTAGAAAGGAAAAGTGGAGCTTTGACTAAAACCCAGTTAATTCTATTTTGAATTTTTTTTTTTCGTTAATTCTTGTGAATATAAGTGAAGCTTTTTGTGTAGGTGAAGGATGCCTTGCCCAGTCTCTATCCTGTATGCCCTCTTCATTAGCTTAGCATAATTGAGCCCTTTAAAAGCTCTTACCTTCAGTGAGATTTAGCTGAAATTCCCATCAAGAAACACCTCAGACCGGGTGTGATAACCCCCAACTTCAACCTCATACACTTGAAATCTAATTTTAGAGCATTTTCTTCAAGAGTCTTTTTAAGGAAACAATGTGCTTTTCTTGGCAATTCAAACAAAAGTTTCTAAAGCCTAAATCTGGCAGCTGAGGGAGAACTTTCCTGAGGCATTTAGAATCTAATTAACTCAAGTGGCCCATTGCAGCTTAGTAGGTATCATCTATGACTGCTTTTCCACACTTAGTATCCAGTGGAACCTTTGCCAGATTATTATATAATACTTTTCAGCATAATTATGAAGCTTCATTGGGAAAAAAAAAATTCTGTCTGTTCCTACTACAAGAAAACTCCAGCTAGAGCACCTTAAATACATGGAAATGGTCTATTGCCCTGCTTTTTAAAACTTTTCATTTCTTCAGGTGGTTTTTTTGGACATTCTTGAGTAGAAAATAATTGGTTTTGAAAAGTAGAAGAGATTTGAGGAGTATTTCAGTATTTCAATCTTAGCATTTCAGTTTCAGAAGTCAAATACTTCCCAGTAAGTTAAGTACGCTGGGAAACCTCTCCAAACTTAGTTCTGTTGTAGCAGTTGCTGTTGAAGGAGATGGAAAAACATCTTGAGATGTATTTTAAAAAATAATTAGCTGCTGCTGTGTAGTAGTTGGTGTGTGCATCTGTGATTGCAAAGCAAGCCCAGTTGCATCTGTCCTGCCCAAGGAAAATAAGCAGTGGACAGTCTGGAAATCCAGGGAAAAGGGTGTAATTCCTACTTCACCTTGGAGAATGGAGGGAGAGGGCTTGGAAGCTGAGAGCTGTGTGCAGAAGTGTTGAATACTCTGTTTATTTAATACTCTGGTTATTGTGAGAAAGTTTAATTGGCTTATCTCAGCACTCAAGTCCTAAAAATGACACTTTCCTCCTGGGCCCTGCAGTGACTGTGTGTGGTGCCTCAGAGATGGGAATGTGTTCACTGCCATGTGTTCTGCCTCTGGAGAAGCTGGAGGAGGACACAGCATTACCTCCTCTCTTCAGAAAAGGACTTTTTCCATTTTCCCGCTGATGAAAACCTGCATGGAAGGTGCACATTGATGGAGGCAGTGGGCTAGGGGTGAATGGTTTTAACAAACTCTCTCCCCTCATTCTACTCACACAAGTTGACTGGGTTAGAAGTAAAAAAGTAGCATTTGCTGGTGTGAAATTTAAATATCAATTTTCATGAACCACCTTGGCAACTCCTTTGTCTTAGGAGTTGATCTTTATGCCAGTGCAAAGCAAACCTCTGCAAAGGGAGATAACCCTGAGCAAGGGTTTGGCTAAGAACTGCTATGGCTTAAAGCTTCACCTCTACATTTAGTCACCTTTTGGTTATCTTCTGTATTTTTCAATGAGTTCCAATCTTGCTTCCTTGTTTTCTTCAATGCACAACTTCTGCAGGGTTCTGTATTATCCTTGTGAACTTGCAGTATAAGTTTGAGTTAGAAAGAGTTACTGGAGACACAGTCCAAGACAAACCACTGTTCCCTCAGAGGATTTTTGACTTCTGAGCCTGTGTTTGCATTCCTGCAGGTGATGATAATGGGAAGAAGGCCAACAACCCCAACCACTGTAACTGCATCATAGACCAAATCTTCACAGGCGGACTGCAGTCGGATGTTACCTGTCAAGTCTGCCAGTAAGTCACTTCTCCTGATCCTGATCCAAACCTGCACCCCTCCTGCAGTGCACTGAGCCTTTCCTCTCTTCAACACCAATAAATGCTGGCAGAACTCCAGAAGGACAAGAACTGTGTTGGTGCAGCACCCTGAGGCACCAGAACAGATTTCCCACAGCAGCTGTGGCTGCCCCATCCCTGGCACAGCTCAGTGCCAGGCTGGATGGAGCTCTGAGCAGCCTGGTCTAGTGCAAGGGATGAAATGAGATGATGTTTAAGGTCTCTTCAACCAAACCATCCTGGGATTCTCTAATTCTATAATTCTGACAGCTAAATGCAATCAGATACCAGTTAACTGCCATGTATTAACACATAACTAAAAAGCTGCCTGGGAAGTACTGCAGGCTTATGCACACAAACCTCTTACTAGTCTGGAAAAGGTGGGGTTTTTTCCAAGTTCATAAAGAAAATGCTTGCAAGATCTCTTGTAATTTCAAAATACATCATTGCAAATACATTTGAAAAAAATTCTGATATAGAACCACATTTCCACATTTTCTTTCAGCCTCATGTTATATCAGGAGAGGTTTCAAAGAGGCTGATGCCTAATGTAATCTCAGGTACCAGAAAAAAAAAAGCCTTTACAAGAGTATGGAAAAATGTATTTATTGTCCTACTCTGTACTGGAACAAGTTGAATTCTCCTTGGAGATGTTTGATGTTGCCATAGTGCAGAAGTCAGAGTTCTTGTTTTTTGTTCTGCCTCACATTCTTGCTGTCCTGCACATGGGCTGGGCTTGTTTGAATCTGCTTTTATTCTCAGTTTCCTGGAGGGATTTGCAAAAGATTTACTGTAAGGAAAACATAGGAAATTTTGTTCTTTGCCTGGTAGAGCCACAGAATCCTTATGTGATAATGCAAAGCTTGATTTGTTATGACACAATATTAACATTGATGAAACTTTGACAAAAGAAGTTTCCTTTGGAAATTGACAACTTCTGCACAAATGAAGCAGAGGGAAAAGGCAGAATATTGAAGGCTTAATGAAATCGCAGATTGAAAGACACTGGTTTTAGGGGAAGAGAGAACTCAAAAAATAAACATAACAAGAAGCCTAAACCCCTGAAGTTCTCTTAAAAATGTGGATGCTGGAAGAAAATATTTGAGTCAATAGCAGTTAAAATTTTGAGCAGCTTTTTCCACAGTCTGGCTGTTGACTTGTCTTCAGCTGTCTTTAGAGAACTCTGATGGAGAACACGAGCTGCTGCTTGGTGCAGTTACTCTTTGGCCTCTCAAATCCCAAAGGCTGTAGGAGATGCTGAGAGGAACTGCAAAGCTGAATTCAGTGCACTGCTGGACAGCAAGAGTATTTTTAAAGCCTCTTTTTTGAGGTAGCCTCAAGCACCATCTCCCATGTCTTGAGCAGACAAGACCAACCAGCTTGTAAACTAGTTGGATGGCATGTATCTGTTGTCACAGATGTTAACTGGTTTGTACTGGTCAGTGGTGCCTCTGTCTCAGAGCATCAATGCTTTGAGTCTCAGGGCACCAGTGAGTGGCAGAATGTCTTTAATACTTTTATTTTGCATTTAGTACATCACCTACATTTCCCCAAACATACAGCTTTTAAATATGCAGGGAAACGATCCATTGTGGGCAAGCACTCAGGAGCAGCTCTATTTTCTGTCATCTCTGAGTGCCCTCTAGGGGTGATGGAGATCCCAAAGTCCTTAAAATTAAGCACCTGGAGTGCACCCCAGAGTGGGAGAGAAACTGTTCATTTGGCTTCCTTTAAAGGTGTGTATGTGGTATTTTCTGGGGCCCCCAATGTGGGGAGGAACAAAAATGATGAATCTGACTCCATGGTCTTAGAAGGCTAATGTAGGATTTTATGATCTATATTATATTATATTAAAGAATACTATACTATGCTACACTAAAGAATAGAGAAAGGATACAGATAGAAGGCTAAAAGATAATAATGAAAAACTTGTAACTCTCTCCAGAGCCTTGATACAGCTGGACAGTGATTGGTCATTAAATCAAGATAATTCACATGTTGAATAAACAGTCTCCAACCACATTCCAAAGCAGCAAAACACAGGATAAGTGATTCAGATAATTATTGTTTCCATTTTTTCTGAGGCTTCTCAGCTTCCCAGGAGCAAAATCCTGGCCAAGGGATTTTTCAGCAAATATGAGGGTGACATGTGTGGAACCATTTGTGTCCCCCCCAGTGGCGTTTCCACGACGATAGACCCTTTCTGGGACATCAGTTTGGATCTGCCAGGCTCCTCCACCCCCTTCTGGCCGCTGAGTCCGGGCAGCGATGGCAGCGTGGTCAACGGGGAAAGCCACGTGTCGGGCACCACCACCCTCACAGACTGCTTGAGAAGGTACTGATTGATTCAATATGGGTATTGATCTGCTACTGATAACCAGCTGGGACAGACAAAAACTCTCTAACAGTTTAAAGTTAGAAAGTGTGTGTTAATTGTGAGATAACTGCTGAATACACACCTCAATTTACAGCTGGTTACAGAGTCCTTCTATCTATACAAGTATTGAATACCCAAAATATAAATGCATATTCATAACTTTGGTACATCCCATTCCCAATATGGATATTGATCTAGTACCAATATCCAAAAACTCTCTAACTATTTAGTTAGAAAGTGTGGGTTTATTGTGGGATAGCTCCCAAATACACAATTTACAGCTGGTTACAGAGTCCTTTTATATACACAAGTATTGAATACCCGAAATACAAATGCATATTCATAACTTTGATACATCCCATTCTCCACTCCATATGGTAATTAGTTCAAAAGCCAGTAAGCATGTGCAGTTTGCTCCTTGAAATGGGTCAGTGGTCCCTTTCATGGAGAGGGGTCCCAAAATGAGGAAGTAAATGAAGTCTTCCTTATTCTGACCTTTCTGCCTTTTCAGTGCAAAGATGACAAATGAACCCTTGGTAGAGCTCCCATTCCTCATCTTCAATTGGTTTCAGAGCAGAGGAGGCCACAATTGTCTTATGTTCCTAAAAGCTAAAATGGTTGATTTGCCTTTTGAAAATCTAAACTTGGAGGAAAGGACTGAGAAAGGAAAGTCCATGGTCCTGCCCTTTCTGTGCCGAGTTTCTGGAAAAGAGGGATTTTGCTTTAGTTTGTAGTGAGAACATTGAGGTAGTCCATTTTCTGTGAGCACTTCCCTGTTCCCTAATGGTTTCTTTCCATGGCTCCTTTGAGCAGTTCTGTCTGAAAATTTTGAAAGAGATTTTTGTCAACAAAGGTTTTTTAGAAGGGTATCTGTATTTTCAAAAGAACTTTGTGTTTACAGGCCTTTCCATCTCAGAGCTTTGATCCCAGCCCTGGAGGGCTACAAGGTAGGATAGTGTGTTGCAGAAGAGTGTCTTCCATATCAATGTTTTTGGGTTTGAAAACAAAAGATCTTTCTTTGCTTTCTGTATGAAAATGAGCTGCTCTGCTGTAGGAGATGAACTGACACTGAGCTCCTTTCTCAGCCACTGATTCACTTCAGTGCAAGTCAGAGCAATGATCCATGTCACATTTGGATATCTGAGCCATGGCACTTTACATTATTCTGGTTTGATTGCAGGTTTTTCCAAAATTACATGAAACCCACTGACTCTTGTCTCTTGTGGTGCCAGTGGCCCACAAGTGAAAGCGTTTCCAGCACATGTCAAAAACCATCTGATTGTTTTGTGCATTCCTTTGCTTTTCAATATTTTTTTAGGTTTACAAGGCCAGAACATCTAGGAAGCAGTGCCAAAATCAAATGTAGTGGTTGCCATAGCTACCAAGAATCTACCAAACAACTCACTATGAAGAAGTTACCCATTGTGGCCTGTTTTCATCTCAAAGTAAGTTCACAGGGGGCCAACAGAGCAGAGGATGTGATTTCCTCTCTGAGAGGATGAGCTGAATTCTTGGACATGTCTTCTGGCTTTCACTGACTAAACTTTTATTATATAAATTAATATAAAGAACATCTTGCCTTGCCAGCTAGGTTTCCTATTAAGATAGTGTTACATTATCTCTGATGTAGCTTTGCAGTGTGTCTGGGGGAGCTTAACCAGCTTGAATCTAGAGACAGAATGGAAGGCTGGTCCAAAAGCTGAACCACCACAGAAACCAATCTCCAGTTACACCCCCTCATCCTACATGGCACAATTTTTACACTTTCACTGAAAGATTGCCACTGTATTGAAGGGAAAGCATGGAAAAGTTCTGAGGCAAATCAAGGTGAATGTGCTCCACTCCTTTGCTATACTTAGTTCAGTATTTGTCTTATTCCAAATGACTGACGATTTTTTGGGAAATAAATTACTTTTCCTAAGTAATTGTGTTGTCCTGTCTATGCAAGATGCAAATTTCATTTTGTGTGTTAACGCAAGAGAGAAACACAAAAGATAAGAATTACAGAAATCTCAGCTTTTCACATCTGGATCTGTTGCTAGGGAATTGTTACAGCATCACAATTGAAAAATAATTAACTTGAAGTGTAAATAGAGAAAAAATTCTGAGAAATGGAAAGGGAAGCTGCCTTTATATAGAAACTCATTCATCTCTTTCTGGTATTTTTTCCTGATCCAATTTAATGTTCAGTGAAGGAGATGAGGAGAGGGTGGTGGGTATTGCAGGCCCCTTTTGGCTGAGGCACAGGGCTTTTTTTTGTTAGTAGATACCATTTTTTGCCTTAATTTGAATGGGCATTACTGTGTAGGCTTGACTCCTGTCACCTGAGATGATGGGATGGGTGGATCAGAGTGTGAATCTGAAGGCAAACTCTGTTATCACCAGGTCTGTGAGGCAGGGTAGGCTGCAGCCATGGGTTTGAATAGCCCTGGTGCAAATGAACTCTGCTTTGGGTAAAGGCTCTGTGTGCTCTCCTTGTTTAATATATCTTTTCTGTGATGTCAGGTGGGAATAGGTTTGTATGCATACATATCAAGGTAAATAATCTAATTAATACTGTGTTAACATTGAGCCCACAAATGGTGGGCTTTTTTCCTGCTAGAAATATGTTGTTATTTACATGGACATTCCCACAGAGCTGGTAGGAAAACTCTGGGGCTGTCCCTGTCTAGTGACTGCTAATGTGCTTTCATGTTATTGTTTCTAAGCTTAGGACATTTATAAAAGAGATAAAATTTACCCTTTCTCTAAAGAAGAAACCTCTTGCCTTTGCCTGCAGCGGTTTGAACACTCAGCCAAACTGAGGCGGAAGATCACTACGTATGTCTCGTTTCCCCTGGAGCTGGACATGACACCTTTCATGGCTTCCAGGTGGGTTCCCAGCCCAGAACCCCCCACAGAGCTGAGCAGAACTGGTTCCCACCTCACACACCTGCAGCACAAAACAAGGAGCATTCCTGAGGGTACAGAACAGGGTCTGTGGTGGCACTTGTGCCATGAGCTTCTCTGCGGAAGATGTAGCTTCTCTAAACCCATTTTTAGATAAACTGTTCAGTTTCATGTGCCTGAAAAGGATTTATATTTAAACATTGTGGTGGGGTTCTTTAATTAATGTGTGTTATGTTTCTGGTTGCCTGTTCAATTTATAGACCCAGATCCATCCTGCCTTCAGATCCCTGCTTTGGTCCCATCTCCTCAGTGCCCACCCACCTGCCATCCTGTGCAGTTGGCCAGAACAGAGCCAGCCTAAGCCCTAACCAGTATTCCTCAAGTTATAAAAATCCTTCCTTTTTATTCCTGAACATAAGCAAATCTGGGGGTTTTTGTTTAGTACCTTCAGCTTCTGTTTAGAGAATGCTGCAAGAAGCAAAAACATAGTTCAGATTAAAATAGGAACAGCAAGACTTCTGCCACCTCCCAGGTTTGTGGAAGACGTGGCATTTATATAAATGCACCTTTATGAAAGGAGTTTAATCAGCTTAATTAAAAAGTATTTGTCAGACATTCATGCAAATATGCAAGAGGATATTCAGATTTAATTTATATCTGAAGCAGTGCAGAAAGCCCCAAACCATGGTATCTCTTAACAGAGAGAGTCTGTTTGATGCTGAAATTTTACTTATAATTTCAAGCTTTGCCTGCACTCCTTATTACCCAGGAAAGAAAGTAGATGCTTCTACCAAGAGGGAAAGAAGAGCCCTGAAGCTCTGTTAAATACTGTTATATTAAGAATATATGGTTTATTCCAATATATTCCTGAGACTTCCTTGTTCCTCTCTGGTGAATTCTCCCTGGATTGAACAGGCTCTGCTGATGAAAGGTATCCAGCATAATGGAATAGAGATGGGATAATCAGCAGGCATAACTCAGTACTCTGAATTTCACCAGCTAGGAAATCAACAGCATAATCCTATTGCTGCTGTCAAAACACAAAATGGATTCAGAAGTCAGAGCCAAGATGATTGACCCATTACAAGATAAAGGATTGATGTAATTAGATAATTTCCCGGGTTTCAAATACAAATCTTTTCTTAACCTGTTTTGAAGCTTTTTGGATAAAACATTTGACATAAACAGATGTGTGTTTGCAGCACTGGAGCCTTGACCAGGAGGAGAAATGGTGTTTGTGATGTAGCACTGCTGTGAGAGCAAATAAAGCATCTTTAGCATCCTAATCAGCCCTTTGCTGCTCAGCTGGAATAAGGACCTGGATTCAGCAAACAGGCTGTGTGTCATTTTAGAGCAATTTCCTGGGTTTGGGGAGCCACTGCTTTAAGTGACTGGATTTTTGTGTGTGTGTGTGTTGCAGTAAAGAGAGCAGAATGAACGGGCAGTACCAGCAGCCGACGGATAGTCTAAACAATGATAATAAGTAAGTGGTACATTCCATGCCTCCTATTGTGAAAGGTATTGCCTTTAGAAGGAGATAGTGTTGCTTTATACCCTGCAGTGCCAGTGCATTTCCATATCTGACAGCACAGTAAGTCTGGAATGTTGCAAAGCAAAGCTTCACTCACTGCAGTTCCTGCCCTTCTGTTCCAGAGCTGAGGGTGAGATGAGACCCTCAAATGGTCTGTGGGCAAAATGAAATGCTGTGGTCACAATGTTTGTTACAAGGAATGGGTGTTGCCTTGAAATATTCCTCTTCCTATTGTAATGGCAAAGGGAGTTCCAGAGGACCAAGGAAAGTAATTAGAACACTGACACTCAAAGTCAGGAGTAGATGATCCCAGTAATCCTGGGGTCTATTGGGCACATATTGATTCCAGTCTGAATAAATGATGGACTGGTGTGGGCCTTGCTTAAGAAAGTAAAGGGGATGTAATTGAAGCCAGTATCCATTACTTTATGGGAATAGAAATTGTTACACAAACCTTACCTCTTCAGTTAAATAAGATTGCAGTTTCCATTGCTGCTGTTGTGTATTTAAATTCAAGGCACTTGATTTGCCACTAAAAGTTTCAGTAAGAAACTGAAATCACACAAAGATGTAAAATCAAACTAACCAGGTCTTAGTGCAGGTGTCACCATGCAGGTGTTTCTGTGTGGGCCTACAGCTCGAGACATTAAATGCGAGATGTTCAGTAGTGCTAGAAAAGTCTGAAGGTAACACAGCTGATCACTTTTGTGCTTTACACATGCCTTAACTTGGAGAAATTGTTGAAAATTAAGCAGATTTAGGTAATGAGAGCAGAGACTTCTGGATTCCTCAGGGATCTGGGTGCCAGGGAAGGGCTGGGGCAGTGTCAGAAGGCTCCAGCTGGGACTGAAGTGTGCTGTCCCTCCCAGATGGATTCAAGGGCTCCCCTAGAGAGGGTGGCTCTAAATCAGTGGCTCTGTAGGCAGTCAGTGAATAGGTGCCTTGTTGTGGCACCACTGTGTCAAAGAGTTCTGTGAACTTTCAACTTGAGTAGGACAATATCAAGTGAGATTAGAGAGATTATTTTACCATTGTGCAGCTGTGCTTGTATCACACACAAAGTGTGAGGGCAGCATTTTATGAAAGAGTTAAAGAGAGTGGAAAATGCTTGAAAAAGAGCCACTAGTGTATTTAAGACTGGAAACAAAATCTTACCTTAGAACAAAAGAGCCAAAGACTTCAGTCTTGCACTTTAAAAAAAAAAGAGAAGGGAAAAAAAAAAGAGAGCAACTTGCTTATCAGTATCCTTTTTGGAACAGAGGTAGGCCTGCAAGTTTTCAGGCAAATACACAGCAGCATCTGAGAGCTGGAAGTTGAGGCTGAATATATTCAGTATTTCAAAATAAGTACAGGCTTTGCAGATTAAGGGCAGTTAATCAGTTCAGCAGTTTATCATTAGAAATATGTAAGATCACCTCCTTCCCATACCTCAGATGCATTTTTTCTGGTTCACTAGAGTAAATCAGGGAAGTAGAAGGTCAGACTAAGTAATCAGTGTTCCTCTTCAGGAATGCACCATTATTGATCTGTTTTAGAAGCAAATTTGGTAGCCAGTATTGGTAAAGCTGACAGTGATCACCAAACTGGAGAGTTGCATAAATAGCAAGACAGGAAAAGAAAAATGTTTCTTTTTTTCCCTGGGCAAGGCCACCCTCTTCCCAGCTAGTGTTAGAGCTGCTGTTTTATGGTGGATCAGATCCTTTACCATTGCTATGTGTGCTTATGAACAAAAGTTTCTGCCTGTCTGAAATGTCTGTTCTTTCCCCCTTTTGATGCACATATTGATGGTTTGTTTCCTGTCCCAGGTATTCCTTGTTTGCAGTAGTTAATCACCAGGGAACCTTGGAGAGTGGGCACTATACCAGCTTCATCAGGCAGCACAAGGACCAGTGGTTCAAGTGTGATGATGCCATTATCACCAAGGCAAGCATTAAGGATGTGCTAGACAGTGAAGGGTAAGTGGTGCCCTGGGAAGGGGAAAGGAAGGCAAACTTTCACCTTTGTTGGGTTTTCCTTACTTAAAAAAACCCTTTTAAATCATAGAGAAGGATAATTTCTCTCTTGAATATCCCCTGTAATGCTCAGTGCTTCAGCATGGAGGTTGCACGGTTACATTTATCCGTGATTGCTTTATAACCCTGGATTTGCTGAAGGAAAGGGAGGGGAAGGACAAGGGACATCAGGTGACTGCAATGCCTGGAACTGCTGCTCATGTCCACACTGCTGCTCATGGAAGGGATTCTGAAAACCAAAGTGATGTGATCTCCCAGTGCAGGAGCAGTGCTTACCTCTGACACACTCCAGTCTGTGCCTGCAGAACCTTTGGATTATGATGAGTGTAAAAGATTGGAAGAAAAGCCATGAAGGAAGTGCTGTGACCCAGAATAGCAAGGCTCTATGGGAGGCAGGTAGAGAACATGAGCTGTTCCTTAGCTCATGGCTTTAAATTAATCTCAGATTGACATTATGGCTTCTGATATTTATATTACACAAGCTTTGGGAGGACAGAGCAGTATCTTTCAAGGAAGCACTGTGGTGTTCCTCATTTGAGGGAAGCACTGGGGACTGGTGTATGTTCCAAGAAAAAAAGCAACTTAAAATCTGAAGTCTTCATTTTGCATTTTCCACTGTGGACTTGGTACTGCAGAGATAAGTCTTTACCATTCTTATTTTAATTATTCATGACATTTTCAAGGATTGCTGCAGGCACAATGTTCAGGTTGTAATTTTTTTAATAGATTTTCCCCATTTTTCCTTTTTTAAAACTTCAATCGGGAAGTAAAAACAGAAATCTATAATACCTGAATTTTAGTGTTAAATGACTTGACAGGGAACTTCTGCTTTGAGGTGAGCAGAGAAATGAGTTTGTTGTAATTCAGTAACACATGCCTGGTGCTCAGGTGGGGTTATGCCCATGGAAGAACCTGCCAGAGGCAAGGAGGAGAGGATGTACAACACAGCTATTGCCCATAAAGGCTGGTTGGAGCTTTGATGCATTTCCCTGGTTCAGATAAAGGCTGACACGTTAGCTCTGCATCTCGTGAGGGAATCCATAGGGCTTGGATGGAATTATAACAATTGCAACGGCTCAGAAGTGCTCTGAGGCTGTGTCAGGGTGGGTAAGGGTTGTGTGGAGATCAGTCCCCTTGTTCTGTGTGGCTGCTCAGGGGCTGGGCTCCCTGCTGTACCAGTGCACACACAGCAGTTAGGGTCAGGAGGAACTTCATCCTTTAAAACACCAGATTTGAGTGCAGATTGACACATCAGCTGTTTGACTGGGACATGAGTGTTCACCCACATGGCTGCTGCTTCATTTTGCTTCTGTTCCAGTAAATGGGAGCAGTTTGCAGTAATCCTGGTCTGATCTCTGGTAGTGTGACTCTGAAGCAACAGCTGTACCTTAAAGCACCTTTATTTTGTGCCACATCAGTGTTAAATGGTTGCTGCCTGTCTGAGCACCAACAGAATCCAATCCTCCAGAGTTTTCAGGTCCTGAGTAGATTTTACAAGGTTTGACTCTTTCATAAAATCATAGAATGGCTTGGCTAAGAAAAGACCTTAAATCTTGTCTCATTCCAACCCCCTGCCATGGACAAGGACACCTTTCACTATCCCAGGTTGCTCCAAGCCCTGGCCCTGGCCTTGAGCACTTCCAGGGATGGGGCATCCATGGGATTCCTCTTTGGTGTACAGCTGTTCAGTTCCCTGAGTTGCTGGTAAAATTATGTCAGCTGGCTTCCCTCCTTCTCATCCCTGGAATGGCCTCAAATTGAAAAGAAAACCAGAATTAACAGCCCTCGTGTCTTATGGCTGCATCAATGGAAACTCATCTGCTTTGGCACAGAACTGCCACTGTCCCTCTGCTCTCTTGCAGATATTTGCTGTTCTATCACAAACAGTTCCTGGAGTATGAATAGCCTTATCCAGCAGCTTGTCAGATGTAAACAAGGAAGAAACAACTCAAGCCTTCTGAATCGACACACAAACCTACCTGAAATGAAAAGACCCATTACAAACCAACTCGCACTGAGCTGTAACAGGACCTACTTGACACTGACTCACAGCCTGGAGAGTGAGAAATGAACAATGTCCAACGTGTGTGCAGTCCCACGAGGACAGAAAGGGGGAAAAGAGGCTGCAGTCAGTCACTTAACAGAGGAAATATAAAATGAAAGGAATGCTCTGGGTGGGGGAAATGGGAGCAGAGGAGTCCGGGCACTGGTACATCTCCTGTGTTCCTCCAAAAATGTGTGTGGGAAGGCAAAGGATTCTACCCTCATCTCCATAAAGCATCTTCTCCATTTGGTGCTTCAGCTCCAACGACCAATCATATAACAGTTAAAATTAAAAATCCAAACCCATTTTTTTATGCATATGGGTCTGAAAGCAGTAGAGTGGAGGAGGAGGGGATGAGACAACTAAAGGACTTTGCAAGTATCTTTTTATTTGTGAATTTTAGTTATTAAATAAATACAGTATGAAACTATTAGGCTCTTTTTTTTCCAACAACCATAAAAGAAATCCTGGATTGTGGGACTGAAGCTGCAGTACTCAGACAGGTTTTCAAGCATGCCTGCTTGCACAGGTAATGTTCAATGCCATCGGACTGCTCATCCAAAAGCATCAGCACAGATTCTGTTGTTTGAGCCCTTTTTTGTTTTGTTTTCTATAAATAGCTATTTTCTTAATTTTTTTCCTTTTATTCCCTTTTTTCACGAGAATGAAATTCATAAATGCAACCATCAGTAAAAATGAATGAATTGGTGTGTTTATACTGTAAGAGTGGTCTTGGTTCTTTTTGGTTTTGTTTTGTTGGTTTTTTTTTAATCTTGTGAATAAGTTTGAATTTCTCAAAAGTGCTTATTTTGTTGTTGCTGGTTTTGGTTTGGTTTTTTATCCCCCCTGCTGCTTTCCAAAGGTGGATTTATATATAACTGACACTTGAGAGAACCTCAGTGGTGAAAAATGTACCATCTGTTGGGAATGGTCGCTGCTGGGGCAGCTTTGAGGGATGGATCTGCTGCTATTGAGCCCTTCTGCAGTGCTCTAAGTAAACAACACATTTTCCTGGTATGTGCTAGGCTGGTATTGGTTCCTTGTATCCTCCCACATGGATTAACTCTTCACGTGCTCTTCTCCTCTTGCAGTGGCACAGTCTGTGTGTTGGTGTTCCCAGCTCAGCTCTGGGGCCTTTCCTGCCCTTCTGTCTTGTGGGGAGGCACCAGCAGGAGCTGCTCGTGCTGGATCTCACTCTCAGGAGCTCGGGCTGGGGGTGGAATTGCAGCCTGGGAGAGGAAACCTTCAGAACAGAGCTAAGAGCAAAACCAGCTTTGTTCTCCCGTGTGGAGAGGGTGAAGTGTCAGCTGGGCCCCATATGAATTGGTGTCACATCAAAAGTCGCAGAATGGTTTGGGTTGGATTTTCAGGATCATCTTGTTCCAGCCCCTTCCACATTCCCAGGTTGCTCCAAGCCTATCCAGCCTGGCCTTGGACACTTCCAGGGATCCAGGGGCAGCCACAGCTGCTCTGATCTTTAATCTCTGAATAAATCCCCAGCCCGGCATTCCCCTGCTTTGCCAGTGTGGGAAGGCAGGGAGGGATCTAAGCCTTTAGGAATGAGGTACAGGTGTCTCACACAGTCTGATAAACACGAAAATAAGGGAAATGAGTGTTTGGGTTTAAAGTTACCATCTTACAGGAGCAGCTGAACAGGTGGAATTCTTCTGATTTGCACACAGACCAGAACGGTACGAGGAGGTTTTGTACATCTGTGACAGGGCACGGAGGAGGAGGAGAGGACAAATGGAACACCCCGAGCCAGACCCAGGAGCTTGGGTGTGGTGCGGGGGTGCCCGGCGCTGCCGAGACCATCGCGTTCCTGCCTGTGTAACAATTTCATTCCATTTGTGCTCGGTGCCGCCCGCTCTGAGCCGAGCGTTCCTGAGCAGGAGCCGCAGGAAGGGGCCCCTCCTTCCCCGGGCGGGCACGGCCCGGTGCGGCGCTCTCCGTGCTGGTTAATAATGCAGCAGCTTGCGGAGGAAGGCAGCAACGAGCCAGCCCTCATCCCCAGCGCTGCTGCGCTGCATCCCGGCCGGAGCGGGACTGCCACCCCGCGGCAAACGCCGGGGAGGATGACGATGATGATGGGGATGAGGATGAGGATGAGGATGACTCCAGCGCTGCCTTCGCTTTGTCGCTCTGAGCCTTTGGCTGCCCTTTTAATGAATTGTGTTTTGCACAGCACACGCTCAGCCGGCGGAGCTGCTGCAGCCGGCTTTGTTAAAGCCTTCAGGAACAAATTGTTTAGGGACGAGGCAGCCGTATAAATCACCCTTAATTTTTCCTCCCCGCCCATCTGGTGGAGAGGCTTCTGCTCTGTGCGGCTGCACCGGCGCAGATGGTTCTCGGGGGGAGCTTTCAAGGCTCTCTTTCTGGTTTCAAAAGCAGAATTCTTATGGTATTAAAAGGTCTATTATTCTTTTCTTACCCCCTCTCCCCCCTAGCAGCCACCCCCCGTGTCCCTGCCCCAGTCACACCAGGTTCTGTTTCCAGCAGCAGTAAATCCACGCCGGTTCCGAGAGGAGGGGACAGCATTTTCCCTTTTCCTATAAAAATGGAAGAGCAGCTGCTGGCGTACGAGCAGCCCTACCCCTCCTGCTGCTTTCTCTCACACACAGCCCTCTCTCCCTCTCCCCTTCAGCCCTGCAGCTCCTGCACTGAATCATTCCCGGGAGGTTCCTCTGGAACTCCCTCAGCATCGCCTGCAGGAAAACGCTGGAGCAGCCCAAGGGAGGGTGAGGCAAAGGCTCCCTGAAGTGCTGACAGCCAGCACTGACAGCTCCTCATCCAGGGGAGCACTTTGGGCTCGACTTGTTTATTTTGAGGGACATTTTCTATCGGCACAGCTGGGTCTGTTGGGAGGAGGCATTTGCAGAAATGACTGGAAACAAAGAGTGGTGCAGCCGTGCAGGCTCACGGTGGGGTGTGTTCTGTTACCTGCCAGCAGTGAACACGGCTTTACAGGGGACACAAAAATAGCCAGAAAGTGCTTTTAGCTACATTTTCATGTCCCTCAGCCTCTGGAGTAGAGATAAAGCTTTGCCTGATGCTGGTGCCTGATGGAAAAAGCAGAAATGTGAGAATTGGTTAAACCCTGGGCAGGGGATCCTGCTCAGAATCAGTGCCCTTAATTCCCAATGTGGTTGGACTTGACCATCTGGAATTGCTGTGTCCTGTTCATGGTGTCCCTCCAACACTGGAACTGATGTCTCCAGGTATGATCCTTCAGAGCTGCTGTAAAATGCCCAAATCCCCTGATTCCTCTTGGCTCTCCAGCTAAGGGTGTTTGTTATTTTCCTGCTAATTTGTTCCAGTTGCTCTCTGTTACCTTTACTGTGCTGGTAATTGTTCCATTCCCACAAGGAGGGGAGGGTGAGGGATGCTCCCCTCCTGTGTCTGGGCAGGACTTGGCCTCTGCTGAGTGTTTTCCCCAGTTTTTGAGACACCACACGGTGACAGGAGGAGCAGCCCTGTCCCAGCCCTGGGTGTGAGCTGAGTGACCTCCTGAGCCAGCTGGGGCTCCTGGTGCCACACAGGGTGAGCTCCTGCTCTCATAGCACAGGCATGGCCCTAAAATCCTCCTCATTTGAATAATTGACACCTCTTGATCCTTCAGGGATGCCCTAATTGCAGCACTGGTGGCACGTGTTCACTAATTCTGTCCTGTATTTAAATAAGGTTCTGAATCTCTGTGCAAATGCCATGGCCAGGGGTTCCTGGAGGTGGCACCTGAAGGGCTGTAGGGCACCAGAGCTGGCCTGGATCCAGGTGTTGCCCTGCTGGAAGGGGCAGCCTGGGGAGGCCCTGGCTGATGCTGAGGGTTTTCCTTCTCCTGAATTCCCTGTCCCTGCTGGGAAGTTTGGGCAGAGGGGGCACAGAGCTGGGGGCATTGCCAGCCCTGCTGCCAGGGGAGGATGTGCTGGTGCTGCCCCAAGGTAAGTGCAAAACCTGCTTTCCAAGGTGTGCATATATTGAATTACATTTATTCTTTCAAGTTTAAAGCTCTAGTTTAAGACAGTGGAAGGGATGGGTTCCTATCAGGAGTGATTCTTTGCAAAAAAAAAAAAAAAAAAAAAATCTTACAGTCTCCTTTAGTGGAAATGAGAACTTCAAATTACATGTTGAAACCCCTATTTTTCCGTGATAGCTTTCAAAGCCAGGTTAGATAAAAATATTCTCTCAAAGCAGCTTTATCTCCAGCTGATTCCTCACTTTTACCAGCTCTTCAGAATAACCCAGGTCAGATATACATAAATCCAGTTTTGTAGAAAGTTCTCAGCCTTGAATGAATTTTCATATTTAAACCCAGTTCCATTGAGGGTTTTGGTGCCTGTCCCAGCTCCTCATGTGCAGCATCGTGTCCTGGTCCTGAGGCAAAGCCTCCCCATCACCCATGGCTGGGAACTGGCACTGGAGCTTCCCACACTGGCTCCTTATCAATTTCACCAGTAAATCCTTGGATCCAATTCCACATTTGAGATGTCTTCAGCTGTGCTGAACATTGTTCTGATTGATGGAGGAATCTGCAGGGAGAGGAGAGCAGGGATCCTTTGCAGGGATGCTGGTGGTGGAACCAGGAGGAAAAGTCCCCAGGAGATGTCCCCAAGGGCTGGGATGCACCCAGGTCAAGCTGGAGGATCAAGTCAGATGCTGCCACATGGGAAGTGACTTCTCTTACTGGGAGTGCACAAGAAAAATGGGAATTTGTTTTCCTGAGTGGAAGCAAACAGCTCTGTGCAGCCTCCAGCCCTGTGTCCTGCAGCCCGGGCTGGGCAGAGGCTGTGCCAGGCAACAGAGGGTGAAGCAGCTTTGGTTTGGGGGCAGGGAGAGCATCCTCCCACTGTGATCCCGTGCTGGAGCCCCTCTGTGCTCACACCATGGGTGTTTTCTCCTGGGCAGGAGAGCAGATGATTTTGAAGTGGCCGTCCTCAGGGCTGGGCAGGGCCCCGGCGCTGCCCGTGCTGCAGATCCCCGAGAAGGAGGGAGCAGCCCCGTCCCCAGCGTGGCCCGAGCTGCTGGGACACGGTTTGGTCTCTTGGACAGCAGAGCCATGTCCAGGGAAGCAGAAGCCACAGGTTTCCACTGGCTCTGGGATTCTGATGCTGGTGAATCCCTCAGCAACGCTGGCGGCTTCCACCAGCCCATCTGCAAATAAATGCATCAGCTGAGGGGCCCAGGAGCAGCTCTCACCTGGGAATGCTCTGGGCTGCTGCCCTAGAGCCGGTGAAAAGCTGCTCCTGGACCTGGAGAGGACACCCAGCTCCCAGCATGGACTCACTGCACCACCAGGAACACCCAGAGAATCTCTCCAAACCTGGTGGCTTATCTTAAAAATCATCCTTTGATCCCTGTGTCCTTCAGCAAAGCAGACAGGAATGGCCTGAGGGGCGGTCCCTGGAGTGACTCCAGGTGTCACGTTGGCTCATGGGGTCTTCCTCAGGGATTTTTGACATTGATGGCTTTGAGGTGGGTGTATGTAAACATAGGTGTGTGTGATGTGTGTGCAGAAACAGGTAAGTAGGCAATTTTTTCTTTGGAAAGGCAGGAGAGAAGAAAAGGAGGAAGAATGAAACCACCTTTTCCATGTTGAATTATTCCACATTATCCTTTCTCTTTTTCTCCCAAACACAAGGACTTGTGAAGCCCCTCTGGCTGCAGAACTAAAACTTGTGGGGTTTTTCTGGGGCAGGTGTTCATTTTGGAAGGGGGTTGGCTTTTGTTTTCAGGTGTTCATTTTGGAAG